CTTCACTGAGGAACTACCAGATGAGAGAGAGTCAGGACTGCTGGGATATCAGGTGGAATAAAATCAGCAATTTTACTTCATTCACCAAAATGAAACGTGGCTGGAGAGGGATTGTTGTTAGCACAGTTTATTGGACAACAGCCGTGCAGGACCTTTGGCAGATGACAGCAATTGTTACAAGCCCATCCTTTGGTTTCTTTGAGTGGATGCACTGTTCTTAAGCTGTGGCTGGCTTGATTCATTGGTGGCTTGCTTTCCATACCCTCAATCTTGCATAGAGAAGAGCAGTGTGTTCAGGTCAAAGAGATGACAGGAGTGTGTTACTGGTTAGTTTAAAGGGAGGTTATTGGGGGTTTGTTTGGGGTTTTGTGGGTCTTTTCAGTAGGCTTGTTTGAGGGGTGGGAGGGAAATATGGTAATAACTTGCAGATTTTCCCATTTACCTTTCTTGCAGGTTGCACTTGAGAGGATTTCAAGAAGCCTAGTTTTTAAGAGATTGAGTTTATTTTTTTTTAGATAGCAAATGTTAACCAGTTGGTTTCAATAAAAATCATTTTGAGGTCTTCAGGCTTGTCTGTGAGAAAAGGGAGTTTCTGCAAATGCTTCTGTGGTGATACACCCCTGCTCAGAGGCAGAAACTTTTAATAAAAGCTTTGCCTAGAGAAAATAAGAAACTGCCTATTTGTTAGACCTAATATTAGTATCTTGAGCAGAGTTTACTGTGGCATGAGGTCTATAGAGTATTCAGAATTACCTGACGAGGTAGTAAGTTGATCTGTGAACTAAGCAGCTATCTTTACTGTCCTGAACTACTGCAAAGGTGGAGTAGGTGGTGAGGTGTCTTCCATATTGGTGCTCAGGCGTGTTTCTTCCTACATTACCCCCAGTATTTTTAGGAGAAAGCATTTTGGTTTAACAATGGCGATTAGTGGTTTCTTCTACTAGTTGGCAATATGCTCTGAAAAGTTGGGTTTCCTATCATTATCATTAAGGAGCTGTAGCTTATGTTGTAGTTGTAGATTTGCTAATGCCGTGTGTTTTTCTGCTCATAGCATGGACCCATTCATATGACTAATTTAGGTACAGGCTTCTCCAGTCAGAGTGAAATCGATGGAGCCGGGTCGAAGCCAGCAAGTTCCTCAGGAAAGGAGAGAGAGAGGGACAGGTGAGTGATGAAGTAATTCTGTTCGGGTCTTTTTGTAAAGCTTATTTCAGAGATAATCTGCTTCATGTTCTCTACTGCGATTTGGGGGTTGGAGGGGCTGTTTGGTTGGTTGTGGGTGTCTTTTTGTAGTGGTGGGTTTGGTTTTGGGGGTTTTTTTATTGTTTTTTAAGGAGAAAGGATGCAGGAGTTATCTTTTCATGCTACATAATGAAAATAGCTTCATTTCCCCTCCTCCCAAAGTCTGTATGCTCTTACTTTGGGTCTGCTCTTTTGCCAACTCCTTGAGATAACAGGATATTCTGGTGAAATAGGTTAGCACTTATGCTTTAAATGATTCCAGTTTTAAAACAAATCTCAAAGTTGTAAACTCGAAATTTTGCAGCCTGAAATTTCAGGGAAAGATTTACTTTGTAGTCCCTTTTGTTTTCTGATCGTTATGAAATACATCAAAGATATTGGTAAAGTTTTCTGTGTTCTGCGTCTTGTCTGTAGTCCTAAATTCAGCCTAGCTGTTTGAAGTCATCAGGCATCACTCACTACTCTTCCTTACGCGCTCCAGTGTACTGAGCCACAAAACTGACAGTTGCACTTCATTTCATGGCATCATAGCATGGTTTGGGTTGGAAGGGACCTTTAAAGATCATCTAGTCCACCCCCTCTGCTGAGGGGAGGGACATCTTCCACTGGATCAGGTTGCTCAAAGCCCTGTCCAACCTGACATTGAATCCTTCCAGGGATGAGGCATCCACCACCTTGGTGGGCAACCTGTGCCAGTGTCTCACCACCCTCAGCAAAACAAATTCCTTCCTTCTATCTAGTCTGAATCTCCCGTCTTTTAGCTTAAAACCATTATCCCAGGCCCTACTAAAAAGTCTGTCCCCATCTTTCTTCGGAGCCTCCTTTAAGTGTTGAAAGGCCATAATTAGGTCTCCCCAGAGCCTTCTCTTCTCCAGGCTCAGCAGCCTCAATGCTCTCAGCCTTTCTTAGTAGGAGAGGTGTTCCAGCCCTTAGATCATTTTTGTGGCCCTCCTCTGGATCTGCTCCAACAGGTCCCTGTGTTGGAGACCCCAGAGCTGGATGCCTGGCTCCAGGTGGTAGGTCTCCCCAGAGCCTTCTCTTCTCCAGGCTCAGCAGCCTCAATGCTCTCAGCCTTTCTTAGTAGGAGAGGTGTTCCAGCCCTTAGATCATTTTTGTGGCCCTCCTCTGGATCTGCTCCAACAGGTCCCTGTGTTGGAGACCCCAGAGCTGGATGCTGTGCTCCAGGTGGGGTCTCAAGAGAGTGGAACAGAGGGGGAGAATCACTTCCCTCAGGAGTCTGGCCATGCTTCTTTTGATGCAGCTCAGGACATGACTGGCTTTCTGGGCTGCAAGCGCATGTTGCCAGCTTGTGTCCCATTTTTCATCCACCAGTATCCTCAAGTCCTTCTCTGCAGGGCTGCTCTCAAGCCATTTGTCCCCCAGACAGTGTTGATACCAGGGATTGCTTTGACCCAAGTGCAGGACCTTGCACTTGGCCTTGTTGAACTTCACGAGGTTCTCATGGGCCCACTCCTCAAGCCTGTCCAGGTCCCTCTGGGTAGCATCCTTTCCATCTAGCCTATAGACTGCACCGCTCAGCTTGGTGTCATCAGCCAGCTTGTTGAGGGTGCACTCGATCCTGCTGTCTACGTCATTCATGAAGACTTTAAATAGGGTTGGTCCCAGTATGGACCCCTGAGGGACACCACTTGTTACATTGAGCCGTTGACTTAACTCTTTGGACGCGGCCATCCAGCCAGTTCCTTGTCCATCCATCGAATCCATTTCTCTCCAATTTAGAGGCCATAATGTTGGGGGGGACCATACTGAAGGCCTTACAGAAGTCCAGGAAGGTGACATTGGTTGCTCTTCCTTTGCCCACTGATGCCATCACTCCATCGTAGAGGGCCATTAGATTAGTCAGGCAATTAAAAGTTTAACTCCTCAGGTCAAGGACTGAATTATGAATTTGTTTGCTATTAGCTTTGACTCTTTGCTTGTTTTAAAAAAGAAAAAATAAGGGCTTGCGTTGGTTTAAATAGGCAGTTGATGCCTCCGCCAGCTTTTCCTGTCACTGGAATGAAATCAGAATCTGAAGAAAGAAATGGTGCGGGGTCTTTACCAGGCAACCATGGTGAGTGCAATGAATAAAGTACACTTGTAAGTCAAGTCGCCTTTCCCGAATGAGTTTGCGCTGGTCTTAACGCTCATGATACTTCTCTTAAAACTTGAATAAATACCTGTATGAACGAGGAGAGTGTAATTAAATGAAGGACCAAAGACGGGTATTTGTCACCCGTCAGTCAGCCAAGTCACAGAACCTCACGGGATTGTTTTGTAGCAGCAGATACGTGGCTTTACACTGTGAGCTCTAGGAGGCTCTGAGGAGCGTCAGTGGGAGTTACAGCTCAGGTCTGTATGTACAGACAGGAGTGATGTCTGTCTTGCCTGCGAACAACACCAGTGCTCTCAGATTTCGTCCTTGCGTAGGGCTTTCATGCGTCAAGTATTTGCAACTTGGTGAATGATGTAATCGCTTTAACTCTCCTGGTAGTTAGCGCCGTTCAGGTCTGCAGGTACCTCACGTTAGTCTGTTTAACCTTAGTTTTTCTGCAGTATTGGTCCCAGAGATTGCTCTTCAGTTAGCTTTTCTTTTGAACAAAATTTCTACTTTTCTTTACGTATTTATCTCTTTAACGGTGAAATTGCCATCGCTTAGACCCGTTTGCTAACTTTACCTTTTCTGTGTGTTTCTTTCTTCTTTCTCTGTTCTCTTACATGGTTCTGATGGATCACATGTGCTGTTGCTGGTGCTGTTGCGTGTGGCCTTCGACCTTGGATGACCATTGGCCTTGTGACCTCAAAATGGTGTCCAACTAACAATTTACAATTAACATCTTTTTTTTTTTATTATTAACTCGTTTTGGGGCATTTTATCTCTTTTTATTTTTATTTTTGGGGGCTGGGGGGGATTGTTTTGTTTGTCCCCTCCTAGATCATCAAGCAAAGAAGATGAAAACTGCAGAAAAGGGCTTTGGGTTAGTGGCCTATGCTGGAGACTCATCCGATGAAGAGGAGGAACATGGTGGCCATAAAAACGCAAGTACTTTTTCACAGGGATGGAGTTTGGGATACCAGTACCCTTCCTCACAACAGCGAGCAAAACAACAGATGCCATTTTGGATGGCGCCGTAAAAACTGCAGAAGAGTTTTCATTCGTCATTTTTTTGTTTTTTTTTCCCCCCCTCTAGCAATAATGCATGTATATCACAAAACAAACTTTGCAAATACGCATCGGTTTTACATTTGCAGAAGCTAAGGGTTCGGTATTCCCCCTTGAAAGGGCTCTGTTGTTTTTAAAATCCTTCCTGCAGTGAATCTGTCAATTAAAAAAAAAAAAAAATTTGACGTGCTATTCTGAGCGGGCTAGGCCCTTATGCAGCGGGGGATGTGCTGTGAGGAGAAACTAGGGAAGCCTGTCAGTCCGCATTTCCCGTTTCTCCAGGATAACTTAAAAATTGAAAGAGTCAGTCACACTGACTTCATTCTGCACCCGGTGTTGGTACCTCACTGAGTGCTCCTGCTGTCAGCCCGTGTGCCGTCCCGGTGAGCTCACGGTGGCGCCGGCTTCAATGTTCGGACTCTCAGCAGAAGAAAGGAGTAGACCGTAGTTCTGAAAAACCCCAGGATCTGATTTCCTAAACTTCATCACTTCATTTTACTTTAAGCATCTCCTGTAACTCAGCACTGTGTTGGTTTTGTTTTTTTTTTTTCTTTAAAATGTGGTTTTACTAACCCCACAACTTCTCATTTTAGCCAAATGTCGGGGTGGGAGGGGAGGGGGCGCTCAGTTTTTTGGATGGGTTTACCTTGCCGCTCATCCCCAGGTGGACTTGGCGCCGTGGCGCTGGTACCCAACCTTCTCCAGTCACCCCCGTGCATTTCGTCCCCACTCAGCCGCTGGGACGGGACTCCCCACGAGGTTCGCCCCCGTCTCTTAACTCACTCACTCGATTCTACCCCTTCTGTTTCGCCATGGTTTAACAAAGAAAAGGCAGGCGGGAGCCGGGCCCCCAGTGCAGGCCTGGCTCTTGCCTCCGCGCGCGGAACTGGAACCTGGGAATAAGTTGTTGGATTGTTTATGGACACGAGCTGCACCCCGGGCTTGCCTGGCGGGGGGGGCTGTTGCAGAAAGAGCTCTTGTACGGAGAGCAGCGGCGCCTGGGACTGCGACGCGGCGCCGCTCAGCTTCCCCGGGGGAGAGTTTTAAAAAGGGGGATGTGTGTCGCTGCCGCACACTGGCACGACCTCGCTGGCTCACGTGTACAAAAGTTGTCTTTGCTATGTGTTGTAAATAATTAGAACCATACTTTCAGTATAAATAAATGTATAAATATTCTTCTCCTTGCTGCTTTTTTGGGTGAGCCCTCAAGCCCTGTTTCTCGCAGTTGTTCCTGCTGGGGGGGG